TCCCACAATGCTAAGAAGGCTGATACCACGGTAGTTTTTACAGTCCTGCTGTGATCCTTTTCCCTTATATATTGGGACTATCACGGCTTTGCACCAGTCTCCCGGTACCCGCTTAAGTTCCCAACATAAATTAAACAAGGTGTACAGCAGGTCTGCCACCACTCCTTCTCCAGCCCTTAGCATTTCGAGAGATACTCTATCATAACCAGCTGCCTTACCTACTTTCATACTTTTCATTGCTTTCATTATTTCATCTATACTTATATCTCTATCTATTTCCTCTTCTTTCGGAATTTCTATTTCATTTAATTCAAACGTCTCATCACTCATAAACACGCTTTCAAAGTATTCCTTCCATCTCCTTAAACTCAAAACTTCGTCATTCAGAATACAGCCATTCTGGTCTCGTATAGCATTCATTCTAGGCTGTTGTGAATGTCCCCTGGTAGTTCTTACGAGTTTCCAGAACATTTTAATGTTTTCCTGGAAGTTATCCGATATTCTTCTATCATTCTTATCCGTTCTTTCTTGCTTTTTCCTTTCAACTACTTCTTTTACTCTCTTATTTAGGTGTCTAAAAACCGCCTTTTTCCTTTCAATATCATCATTCATACTGCTAGAATTACTAGCCTTGGTTGCTAGTAAATCTAGCCATGCTTTCTTCTTTGCTTCAACTTCCATCCGTACCTCATCATCCCACCATAACGTGTTATTTTTCCTTTCATTTGTTCTCTTGCTTACACCACATACTTCGGTAGCTGCATCCACTAAACCTTTCTTGACATTATACCACACAGTCTCCAAGTCTAAATCATTCATACACAATTCAGCCATACCACTTATATTTTCTCTCAATCTACATTTGAACTTCTCTTTCACACCTTCATCTTGTAGCCTCTCTGTTTTTATACGCTGTAACGCTGTGGTAGACACAGATGTCCGATGCCTCCAACGTCTGAAAAGACCATTAATTCGGCATAAGACCAAGTAATGATCCGTCCCTACGTTAGAACCCCGGTAAACCCTTGTATCTACCACCGCGCTCCTCATTCTTTCATCAACAATTATGAAATCTATCATACTTCTATCATCACCTCTTTCCCATGTATACGTGTGAATCTTCTTATGACGAAACAAAGTGTTCGTCACAACAAGATTCTTTTCCACGCATACGGCGAGAAGGCTTTCACCATTCTCATTTATACTTTCATCACCAAACGTTCCCAATATCCTTTCATAACCAAGCCTCCTCACCCCAACCCTTCCATTAAAATCGCCTAATATCACAATATTTTCATTAACCTTGCATTTCATTAGCACCATCCTTACCAACTCCCAAAACTGCTCTCGGATATAAGTGGGCTTAGACATGTCTGGGGCGTAGACCCCTAAAACAAACAACTTCTTTAAGCCCACTTTCATTCGTATCCATAGCAGTCTCGGGCTTACACATTCATACTCTTTTACACAATGACCCATTCTTTCTGAAAGGATGATACCGACTCCCTGGCATGCCCGCTCGGTCTCGTCTACACCAGACCAGTACGCGGTATACATGCCATGTGTAGTGGCATCCTTTCCCTTCCGTTTCGTCTCATTCACACATAACACGTCTATTCCTCTATCATACATCATATCGCATACTTCATCCATCTTATCATTCATTCCTCCACATACGTTCAATGTAGCCAGACGGGCTTCCACAATCCACTTTTCGCCCCTCCGGGGGACAGAACGTGACGGGTGGCGAACCTCGTCGCCGGTTTTCCTCCCGGAGATTCTTCGCACCCCTGCCCCATTAAAGGGGCGCCGGGAACTCGGGGCCATTTCTTTAATATTTTGCCTCATGGTGCGAAAGTAAGTTGTGGTATTTTTTTTACGCCGCTACCACACGGCGAGGAGCCGAGTCAGTTCTTTCGGCTTTGTCGCTCGTTTAGCACCACCCGGGGGACACGTGTAGGGTGGGCCTAGGATTAGGTGGTCGAAGCCTACGGACGCGAGCGACTCATCCCCCTCGAAGCCTACGGACGCGAGCGACTCATCCTCATCATAATATAATCTCCTTACAACGAAACCACATAAATGTGAAATTATTATTGATAACATGCATCTCCTCGTAAAGTAAGTATTATTTTATTTTGCGATTTACACCAATGGATAGGCAATTTATTAATGAACATTTTTATAGTAAATTTTTTTTTCTAAAGACCAAAATTTGATTTTATTGAGAAATTATTTTAAAATCTGGGCATATTCACTGCTCACGGGCTTGCTGAAGTCAGTGAGCCCTGAGCTCTTCGACGTGAAGCCCGTGTCGTTAGAGCGTCGACCAGCGCATACACTCACGTCATATCAGTCGATAATAATATTACTTATTAGGTTATTTATAGGTAGTATTATTTGTTTGTTTTGGGTATAATTTTTCGTATTAGTTATACATATATTTGTTGTGTTTATTACTGCGCGATGAAGCTTTTTGCGTGTATTTTCTTTGAAGTAAATGCAAATAAAAAATGAAGCACCATTAGCATGTAAGGTTCGAATCCATAATTAAAATTTCGACAAATATTATAATTTACACTATAAAAGGCTAATTCAATATTATCACCCAACCACAATATTTGTAGTAGTGCGACTGCTGATCATGAGGTCCCGGGTTCGAATCCTGGGTCGGGCCAAAAAGTCAGTTATGAGTTTTTCATTTATGTTCTAAGTTATAATTAGTATTACTAAGTTATAGTTTTTTGCTAAAATATAGTATATTATTTATTGCTTGTTTTTTCTTCTTTTTCAAAAAATAATTGAGTACATAAGGTGTTCTATACTTATAATTCGGTAAAAAGTATCTAAGTAAGTATTAATATACCTACTTTTTACTATTAACTAAAAAAAATTAAAACTAAATTTAACTAAAAAGACTAAACTGACCATTTATTTTTTAACTCAAAACAGGACATGAGTTTATTTATACTCTAAAAACTATAACTTTATACAATTAGTGTTCATTGTAAAATTATATTCGGTATAGACGGTAATTATTAAATGCAACATATTTTTTTTAATTATTAATTACATTTGTCAGTGGATTAAATTTTCTTTAATAAAGTTGGTGATGATTTTAAATAAAAATAAAATTCTGCTCAAGTTTTTTTATTGTTATCTTTGTTAACAACATCGCCTTTAGAACTCTGGAACCGTAAGTGTTTCTTTCAGACGTCCACAATTTATTCAAAATAAAAAAATACTCTTTCTATCGGAGCATTCATACCAGGTAGACATAAAATATATTCGATTAAAAAAAATTATGTTGAAGATTGTTGACTTTGAATACTTCCATCCAACGAGTTACGGGACAATTTTGTGTCCCGGAGCTTTGTTTGGGGACAATGGGACAGGTGATCGAGAAAAGGGACAGTCCCGTTCAAAACGGGACGTATGGTCACTTTAGCTATAACCCGGCGACGGCTCCGTGGCGCAGTGGCTTAGCAATCAGTTGTTACGCTGGGGGCCGCGGGTTCGTATCTCGCACGGAACAAGTATTTGTATGGCCTACAAATAATTGTTCCTGGTCTGGATGTTTGTCCTTGTGCAATTTATGTTTGTAAACTGCCTCCACGACACAGGAGAAAATCCTAGTGTGGAGGTAACGTTTTTTTACAATTGAAATTGAAAGATTGAACCCTTATACTTCTTGTTGATTTTTGTATTACCTTTATTAAAGTTACCCTTATGTATAAATAAATATAATTACGTATGTAGAAATAAAATTGATTTTCATCCTCATCAATCATTGGGGCGAGGATAATGTCTGCCAGCATAAGTAATAAGCAGGCTAAGTTACAAGGTGCTCAGTTCAAAAATTTGTAGGTAGGTATCTTACTTTTAAATACGTGACACGTAAAAATTAACAATAATCAAAAACACATCTACGAAACATCCTATTTATTTATTTATTCTTTATTGCACCAAATATTTGTACAAAAGGCGAGCTATCTATTTATTTACCTATAGTGAATAGGTATCTTTTAAACTCACAATTTTCAATGCTTCATTTTTAATATATAATTAGTTATAAAATTTCATAATTAGATGATATATGAAAATACATAATTCTAATATAATGCAAATAATATACCGAATAAAAAAATTAAAATACATTTATCGTTGTACGCTGTGTGTATTTCCATAAATTAGTTTATTGATGTTGAAAAAATAATACTACGTTCTTTTACCTACAATAGGTGGCGTCTTATATATTTCATATTAAGCAATATATTGAAGCGAGCGGCGCGCCGCCGACAAATGCTCAAGGTCGTTCGCATAGAGTAGCCCCTTAAATGGCAATAGTAAGCGCTCCACTAGCGACTCTGTCAACTGAACAGATAAGTTGGTGGCACTATACATTATTTCATGACTCGTCACTTGTCAGAAATGACATTTGACAAATAACGACGTCTTTTTTATGACGGAAAGGGCGCCATCTTGTAAAACCATTAAAAAGTTAGGTTGCATTTTTTTTATTTTTAGCAAGTTGTTTAGTTTCATTAATTCTTGTAAATCCATCAAAAAGTTGGGTTGCATTTTTATTTTTAGCAAGTTGTTTAGTTTTATTAATTCTCTTACTTTATTTTTAGTGTAATCTCTGAATTTTTCGTTTTTTTTTTACGATATAATGTATATAGACTTGGCCTGAAATAGACCGTCTCCTTTTATGAAATAAGTTGTATACCACTTATTTGGCCAACCTGTATTAAATTTTATTCATAACGCAGTTTACAAGCTCAGAGTACTATTCTATAAAAATACAATCTGTAAAAAATAAAGCATTTGCTTTGCCCGAACCAAACGAATGCGGGAAGCGAGTGACACATAACGATTAAATGATTGATCGAATTGACCCGGTTCGCGTAAGAAACCAATACTTGATCTATCGGATCATTTAAAAATACTGACATTAAATAATAAAGGTTGAAGTATTATAGTATTATACATATTTACAGATAACATCATCCGAGGCAGCAAAGGAAAAGAGTTTGTCTATAGTACCAATGAAGAGATTGGGGAAACCTGAAGAAATAGCTAGTGCAGTAGCATTTTTAGTCTCGGACGATGCCAGCTACATGACTGGAGAAACTTTAGTTGTAGCGGGAGGAACCTATGCGCATCTTTAATTTGAACTCTCCTAAATATTTTTGTTACTTAAAATATTCGATATAACCCATTTTAAGGGTAACTTTGTTTCTTGTTTATATCCAAAGGTTTTGGGACTATGATAAGAATGATGTTCATTGTTAAGATATATTTTATTTTTTATATACACTTGATGGAAATGTCAAAGGGTAGGTGTATAAGGTACGCTAGTTTGGACTGTAATTAACCTAGGATTTGTTGAAAATGCATAAGCCGTGCCACTTTTTTCTTTTTGTTCCTTTCTGTAGGTCTCGGTCTCCTTGTTTTAACTACTGTGACGGTAAGTAGAAGCTATGATAGAATCCCGTCGCAGTTTGTTAGGTGTTTTAAAAAGGTCATCTCGAACTGCTTTTACATCATTAGGTGTTATTTTACAACATTGGAATATCTTGTTATTGTGTGGACAAGGAAAATATAATGGAACACTAGGAGCAGAGTAGTTTTTTTTTTCTTGAGAGCTCGTTTTCCACCTGTAACTCTGCGTTTCTGTGATCCGACGTTTGCTACACGAACTTCTACTGTATCTGCTTCACCTTCGCCCATTTTCTGACTTTTTTCAATTGTAAATCAATATAAAATAACTTAAATAAGCTTCAGAGAAATAAGTGCTAACTTATAAACTCAAATATGACAAGTGACAAGCAAAAAATGATTAAACCATAGACAAATTGGCGGCCGATGCGTTCTCGTTGGGTGATTGGACGTATCATGTTTTGTTTGCCAACTGTCAAAGGACAAAACCTTTCTTGCTCAAACAATCTATATTTTTTCTAAAGGGACAAATTTGTTTTTGCTCGGATACATGCATTTTTAGTTACAAGTAACCATAGAGAATACGAGCGCATAAAATATTTTTTTTGTAGTGACAAATCATGTTTTGAAGTTTGGCTTCTCAATTAGAGGCTGTGAGGTATTCCAATTTAGTCCTCAGTGGTGACGATTCTTTGTATAATTGGCTGCAGGTGTCCATGGACCGCAGTAGCCAGTTACCATCAGGTGGCCTTTAAGTTCTTTTTCGACTTCAGTCAGGAACTATAAAAATAAGTTAATAGAATCGTAAGCCAGTTAGTTTTAGCTATAATAAGTCACCTCTACATTGCGATAAAATCCTTAAAAAAACTAGTTTCATTCTATAGAAGAAAATATAAGAAAAACAAATTATAACTTTAATTCAACCATAAGCTAGTTAGTTTGAGCTATAATAAGTCTTCTCTAAATTGCTATAATTACAAGTTCATATTGTTATGTTAATATATTGGAATGTGGACGGGTGACAATTCTTTTTTTTTAATTATTAAAACAAGCTGTAAAAATAATTGTGATTTTTTTGATAAAATTGTTTATATATTGTAGAAGTTTTTAAAACAATGAAGTTGTTTTAACCTTTTTGTAAAAATGTTTATGGAATTCTTTTATGGAAATATTTTCCGTTATGATTAGGCTTTTTAGGTATATTGGTGATATGTTTATATAACTATTAATATAATAACATATTAATACATTATAAACTATTTAACACGCTATTGGTTTTGATAGTAAATACATAGTGTTGGGCTCGGGTAACGTATTTCCAAAGAGAAAGAAGAGATTAAAGTTTGTGCAATGATCATTTTACATTTTTTTTTATTACGATGTTACTAATGGTTTCTAGTCTCTAGCTAATTCAACTTCTCACCCTCATAGGATATTGATTGTTTCCTATATATAACACCCGCCTAGTTTTATATAACATTACAAATACATTTAGTATATAATAAAATTGTTGAATTGAGTAAGATTATGCAGAGTATATTGAAAAATAATCGATTCTCTTTGGTTTTTAATTCTGGTTTTTATTCTTAGACGATTAGGTATACCTGACACAAAGGAGCTAATTGAAACCATATATATGGTACTGAAGTAAAACCACAGACGTATGGTATTTATGGTTATATGTTATAACCAATCAATATTGATTTTTAAGAATTGTGTTATTGACCCTGTTGCTTCTTATTTTTGTGGTGGAAGTTATGAATTGGTATAGGTATTTTAATTATATAAAATCTATGCAAAAGTAAATTGTTTCATTTCATTTTTACCTGGTAACAAATTATTTTATTTACGGCGCATGAAGCGCCAGACGAAGCCACGTTGCCATTAAAAATATATATAATAGTTACATATAGTATTTTAGAATAATTGTAACTACATAACACTGAATATCTAGTACAGTATGCTGTTTAACTGCCTATAAGGATTAATTGCATAAGCAAGAGATCAATTTATATGTGAATGTAGTGTAAGTATGGCGAGTGTAGGGAAACAGAGACCCTTTTTACTGATTCTTTTTTATTTAATAATTACTAGATACGAGGAATCCTATATTTTTCCTCAGAGGTGACAACGTTTGGATTTGGATTTTGATTCTGAATCGAGGATAGATGAAGGTGCCTATGTGCCACAGCATCCACTTACCATCAGGTGGACTGCGTGCTCGCTTGTCACCCTTATTCTCGATTCGAAAAGGACGCTTCTCTTATGGATTTAGGAGCGATGGCTTGAAAGCAAGATGAGACTTAAATTTATTGAATTCTAGTAATAAAAGTAAAAGTAGATTTCAAGGAACCAATGAATAAAATAATTTCACTTTCTGAAGTTGATGCTTAGCTGTAGTGTATAGAAGAATTGAAATCCCATTAGGGCCTCCTCTCATTTCTGAGGGTTTTAGGGCAAGGAAATGTCTACGGCGCTGCCCCTATGCGTGTTGGCGAACTTCACAGGTCTTCGACATATTTTTTTCTCAGATATGCAGGTTTCCTCACGATGTTTTTTTTCACCGACGAGCACGTGGTAAATCACCACTTTAATTGTTATTAACATTTTCATTGGTGCCGGCGGGGATTGAACCCGGGTTGCTCGCGTACTGTGAAATTTACAGTGAGCGTTTTGCCCCTGAGCTACCGCGGGTCGGGAGGAATACCTATCACATTTTTTTTCTTTTTTTACTTATAAGCCAGTGCGTGACCACAATCCCACCAACACGGCTAGCATGGGCTGGGGACAAAAATTTTCTCCCCCGATTATATCCACTGACAAGATATAAAATTATCTTGTCCCTATGCCAAAGCACGGCAACGGGGAGAAGTATATCACCGTTTCACATAACGAATAGACATAATTATATCCAGGCGTGTCACTTTGTAAAAATCTGAGGTATGGAAAATGGTGGCGCGATTTTCAAATTTGTTCGCATTACTCGTGGGGTATTAAGGTTTAAGAGTTTGCAGTGTATATACTCAACTTATTTATTGAACTATAAGATGTGGGGTATTGAGGTTTAAGGGCTTGCGATTTATTTATATGGGGTTTGTAGTAATATGCGATTTATTTCCTAATTTCAGCTATGGAATTCCATATCTTGAAAAACTTGAGGTATGGAGTGCTCCATACCTTCCATAGTGGAAGTGACACCCCTGATTATATCCCCCGTCCGTAGCATGCAGCCAAATGAAAAATAAAAAATTATACTTTTTTGACATTTGTAATTTTGGATAAAACGAAGCGAGGGGATAAACATTTTCTCCTTTCACCGGGGATAAAATTGTCTCCGTCTCATGCTAGCCCTGCAGGTGGTAAGTGGTGATGCAGCCCTAGATTCCTGTCTGATCGTAACAAACGCCTATTCACTTTTGCCTTAAAGACGCCCAAATTGTATTCAGACAGAAAGGTAGACGCCGGCAAATTATTCCACTCCTTTGTTGTACGCATTACAAGACGAAGCAAACCGATTGGTTATAATGCGTGGAAATTCGACAACAGAGGGATGACGACCCGCCGGCCGCCTGGTTGTCTTAATGCCGCCTAAATAGTTATATTAAAAACTTTATCCCCTATTTTGCCACCCTTAGAGTTGGAATATTGTAACCAGATTTATAATAGAAGAATCTTCAAAATCGGGTCTCAATTGGCGAGAATATCGCGTAAGTATAAAAAAAAAATAGTCTGATTGTGAACCTCCTTTTTTAAAATGTCTAAAAAGAAAAGGTATATATGATCCATGCACTCCCCAATACCTGAAATGCAAGTTTCAGTATTTGGGTTCTTATGTGTTTTTTCTCGCCGTACCAAATATATGTCTGAGACTCTGAGTCTTTCGCCGCTGAGGCCATAAGGCTATGAAATAAATTACCTCCTCATATCAGGAAACCGACTTCTGTTGCAGCTTTTAAAAGAATGGTGACTGATCACTACCTTTCTTCTTTCAGCAACTAACTTTCTTATTTAAATGTTTCTGCTTAAGTGTTATTATACTTAGTCGGGTCATAAGTTCTGTCAAAACCTTATTATTTAATTTTTTTGAATACTGGCTAGATGAACTTCACCAATTTTAAAAATATAACGTTTGCGCTTACCGAAAATAAAATTAATTTTCAAATAAGAAGACAGACTAGCGGGTATCGAAGTAAGAAGACAGACTAGCGGGTATCTCGTTGCACCGCTGTGATTACCCGCCAAAAGAGATTTTCAATATTCAACAAAAATTTAAAATAACCCTACGATTTGTTTATCGCACTATCAAACGATTCACTATCTGGCTGCGGCAGCCAGTCGAACATATGACGGTGTATGAGAGCCCGCGCACCTAAGCAGCCACGAACTGCCGGCTGCGGCAGCCATAAAAGCGCGTCCGATTGCACGGCAGCCCGTTGGCTGCGCGCAGCCAGAATGAGTAGAGCAAATGTATGTGGCTGCCGTCAGGCACCGCGCACTTGTCGTAGCAGCCAGGCGTATTTTGGTGTTCCGAAACCACAAAATGACTTTCGAGAAATTTATTCGCAAAATTGAAAACCGTGAAGCAATATAGGATATATCTATAGGAGTATCAGTGACCTTGATTGAATTTTTTATATTTTCCAAAAGGTTATCAAATGATTGCACTGACATTCTCGTGTTAAAAACCGGTCTGGGTATTTACGAGTATTTTTGAAAAAGATATGAAATAAGCCTTTTGAGTGCCGTTCCAGAAAAAGAGAATGAATTCAATGTCTTCTAGTTTTGCATTTTTTACGAAATACACACAAAATTACAAGTTCTTCAACGTCCATATCCCTCGAAGAAAGGGTCACAACTGGCCGTCCATTGGCTGCTCAAATATATTGGCCGCCGCAGCCTGGCTGCGCAGCCAGGCTGCGGCGGCCGAAATATTTGAGCAGCCTCTTCTAAGCAGCCAATGGACGGCGAGTTGTGATCCTTTCTTCGAGGGATATGGACGTAGAAGAATTTGTAATTTTGTGCGTATTTCGTAAATAACGCCAAGCTAAAAGACATTCGATGCATACTTTTTTTCTAGAACGGCACTCAAAAGGCTTATTTCATACCTGTTTTAAAGATGTTCGTGAATACCCATACCGATTTTTTAACTACACGAGAATGTCAGTGCAATCATTTGATAACCTTTTGGAAAATATAAGAAATTCAAGCAAGGGCACTGATACTCCCATAGATATATCCCATATTGCTTTACGGTTTTCAATTTCACGAATAAATTTCTCAGTGTCAAAAGCCATTTTGTGATTTCTGAACACAAAATACGCCTGGCTGCTACGACAAGTGCGCGGTGACTGACGGCAGCCACATACATTTGCCCTGCTCGCTCTGGCTGGGCGCAGCCAACGGGCTGCCGTGCAATCGGACGCGCTTTTATGGCTGCCGCAGCCGGGAGTTCGTGGCTGCTTGGTGCGCGGGCTCCCATACACCGTCATATGTTCGACTGGCTGCCGCAGCCTGGCTGCCGCAGCCAGGCTGCCTAGTGCGCGCGGGGGCTAGTGCGCGGGAGGCCTTAGGACAACCGCGATCATCAAAGCAGTGAAGGCGCGAACTTAGCTCTTCAGATTGGCCTAAGCAGAACCACGGTCAAAAGAGTGATCAAGAAGACTGGACATTTTTTGAACAAAAAAATTAGGCAGGATAGATCCCGCGCTTTGTTACGGCGGTACGCGGGAAAAAATATTGCGAAATTTTGTAGTCGGACGAAAAAATTTTAACATGGAAGAAAGTTATAATAAACAAAATGATAAGGTGTATGCCCACAGCAGTGAAGAAGCCAACACGCCGTATTCCGAGGGTTCAACGAGCACATAATCCTTCGTCACTCATGGTTTGGCTTGGAGTCTCATATTCAGGCTTAACTGAGGAGTTTTTCTGTGAAAAAGGTGTAAAAACCAGTGCCGAGGTGTACCAAAATACCATCCTAACAAACATAATGGAACCTCTTTCTCAAACAATTTTCGAAAACAGACATTGGATATTCCAACAGGAGTCTGCACCAGCTCATAGAGCACGAAGCACGCAAAACTGGTTTACCGCCCATGGAATTGACTTTTTCGGACATGAAGACTGACTCTTCTAGTCCAGATTTAAGCCCACTGGATCATAAGATATGACAACATTAAGAGGGGGGGGGGGGGAAAGTCTGCGCTAAACTTCATCAGAATTTGGAATCTCACCGAACATCTTTGGCTAAAGCAGCGGCAGAAATAGATATAGAGTGTGGTGCGTGCTGCGATTGATGATTGACCGCGTCAATTAAGGGCATGTATTCAAAATAGGGGAGGGCATTTTGAATAATGTAAATAAAATTGTATTCTAAGTTAAACTACCTTTCATTTCATATATAATTATCAAAAATTGTATCATTAATTTTATAACAAGTTTTTGACAGGACTTATGACCTGATTAAGTATAAGTAAGTTGTTTTTATGTAATACAAGTACTCGTATGTTTGTTTACATACGAACATACGAGTACTTATGTGCGTATGCTTAAAATGTATCTATTATGTATTATTTAAAAATTATGTATGTTGTGTATCAGGTATCGAGTATATTATTTAGGTATATATATATATATATATATATATATATATATATATATATATATTTATTTTCAGCGTACCTTATACTCAGAATCACCAAACGGTATTCGCTGAAGGTCATACAGGTTTACGCACCAACCTCGGCACACCCCGATGAGGAGGTGGAGGAAATGTATGAGGATATCTCTAGAGCCATGCATTCCTCCAAAACCCAATATACGGTGTTAATGGGAGACTTCAATGCAAAACTAGGCACAAGAGAGAACGGCGAGCTGAAAGTAGGGAAATTTGGAATAGGGCAACGGAACCCAAGGGGCCAGCAGCTGGCCGACTTCATGGAGAAAGAGGGACTCTTTATGATGAACTCTTTCTTCCAGAAGCGGCCCCACAGGAAGTGGACCTGGTCGAGCCCCGACGGTTCGACAAAAAATGAGATTGACTTCATTATGATGACCAGACGACAACTGTTCAGTGATGTCTCCGTGATCGCGAGGGTGAAAACTGGTAGCGATCACCGAATGGTTAGAGGCACACTGAACCTAAACGTTAAGTTGGAGAGGTCTCGTCTAATGAAGTCAACGCTCCGTCCCCCCTCGTGCTCTGTTCCAAAGTCCCGAAACCTTTGAGCTCGAGTTACAAAACCGTTTTCAGTGCCTGGAAGACTGCAATGAAGTGGACGATATGAATGACAAGCTCGTGGAAACTGTCCATGCGGTCGGAGCTACGTTCTGCAAGACCCGCCGCAGAAGAACACAAAAACTCTCCGATCACACTCTTAATCTCATGGCTGTTAGACGGGAGTTGAAGCTACATTCTTCAACAGACTTGACAGCATACAGGCATCTGAACAGACAGATCTCCAAATGCATGCGGCGGGACTTACGCAACTTCAATACAGCTCGTATTGAAGAAGCGATCGAGCGGAATCAAGGCTCCAAAGTCTTTGCCAGAGATCTGTCTGCCAGAAAGAGCCAACTGTCAAAGCTGAAGACAGAATGTGGCAGCATCGTTTCCGGGACACCTGAGATTTTGAGTGAGATTGAGAGGTTCTATGGGCAGCTGTACACATCATCGTTGGAGCCACACGCAAGTGTGAGTAACGATCCAAGGGCGAGATTAGAATGATTCTCCAGCACCTTAAAAACGGTAAGGCCCCAGGCGAGGATGGAATTACAGCGCAGCTTCTGGAAGCCGGTGGAAGACCGGTACTTGAAGTCCTTCAGAAGCTCTTTAATTCCGTCCTCCATGGTGGCATTACACCGGAGGCGTGGAGCAGAAGTGCGGTGGTCTTGTTCTTCAAGAAAGGTGACAACGCTCTCTTGAAGAACTACAGACCGATTTCCCTTCTGAGCCGCGTCTACGTGCTGTTTTCGAGAGTCATTACGAATCGTCTCGCGCGCAGACTTGACGACTTCCAGCCTCCCGAACAAGCCGGTTTCCGAAAGGGCTTTAGCACCATAGACCACATACATACCCTTCGGCAAATTGTACAGAAGTCCGAAGAGTACAATTTGCCACTATGTCTGGCGTATGTGGACTATGAGAAAGCCTTTGATTCCGTCGAAATTTGGGCGGTGCTGCAGTCCCTTCAGCGGTGCCAAGTTGACTATCGGTATATAGAAGTGTTGAAGTGCTTGTACAGTAGGGCTACGATGGCTATCCGAGTACAGAACCAGAGTACGAAACCTATCCAATTGCAGAGAGGTGTAAGACAGGGTGACGTCATATCCCCGAAACTCTTCACCGCTGCATTGGAAGACGTTTTCAAGCTTCTGGACTGGAAAGGATACGGTATCAACATCAATGGCGAGTACATCACTCACCTTCGATTTGCCGACGATATAGTCATTATGGCAGAATCGCTGGAGGACCTAAGCACTATGCTCAATGACCTCAATAGTGTTTCCCAACGGATAGGTCTTAAGATGAACATGGACAAAACAAAGATCATGTTTAATGTCCATGTCACACCTATGCCGGTAGTTGTTGGGAGCACTAGGCTCGAAGTTGTTGACGAGTATGTTTACCTGGGACAAATAGTCCGACTAGGTAAGTCCAACTTCGACCGAGAGGTCAATCGACGGATTCAACTCGGCTGGGCAGCGTTCGGGAAGCTACGACACATCTTCTCGTCAGACATACCTCAAAACCTTAAAACGAAATTGTACAACCAGTGCGTGTTGCCAGTGATGACTTACGGAACTGAGACGTGGTCCTTCACTGCTGGCCGTATGAGGAAGCTCAAGGTCGCTCAGCGAGCTATGGAGAGGGCTATGCTCGGAGTTTCTCTGCGTGATAAACTTAGGAATGAGGATATCCGCAGTAGAACCAGAGTAACCGACATAGCCCAACGGATTAGTAAGCTGAAGTGGCAGTGGGCCGGCCATATAGCTCGAAGAACCGACAACCGATGGGGAAGAAAGGTTCTCGAGTGGCAGCCTCGTACCGGCAGGCGAAGTGTAGGGCGTCCCCCCACTAGATGGAGTGACGACCTGGTAAGACATGCAGGAAGTCGATGGATGCAGGTGGCTCAGGACCGTGCTTTGTGGCATTCTTTGGGGGAGGCCTATGTTCAGCAGTGGACTTGTGAAGGGCTGTAATGAATGAAAAAAAAATATTTGTTTTTGTATTTACATGTATAGTATGTATATTTTTATATTTACATTCTAAGTTTTATGGCACCTGCTTGTTTCTCTGCTTAGCTCGTGGCTGACTGGTAGAGAATGCCTAAAGGCATTAAGTCCGCCAATTGTACAGTGTAATAAGGATTTTAAATAAATAAATAAAAGACATATATTAAATTAAACAATTAATTACATTTATTATTATTCTTCATCATCGTCGGAATCCAGTAGATCTGTTTTGTTAATTCCTACAGATCTTAAAATATTACTTGTTGGCCCTGAAAGTCCTTCTTCTTTCATACTGTGAACAAAATTTTCAAGTATAGACTTATCACTTATAAAATGAATATTTTGTTCATTTGAGACCATTTCTGCCTCGAGTTCTTTGTCAAGCTGTTGCTCGGTATAGACAAAACTGTCAGAAATTTCATTGTCACTAGAATCACTGCATTCTTCATATCCCGCATCCAGTTTTACCATATTCAACATACTTTCAACAGATGTAAAAAATTGGTTACAATCAAATTCTATTTTATCATTTTGGATACATGTATCATTTTCTTCTATACCTTCGAAATCAGATTTCTTAGAAAGAAAATCGGATAATCCAGTTGTAATAATACTAGGTGTTATAAGATCGTCAGAATTTACTTGCTTCCTGTAATTTTTATTTAAGAAATCATCCAATGTAGAAGGATCAACATTCAACCACTCATCACTGTCTTCAACATGTAAGTATAAATTAGGGTTTTGAGTTAAAGCCTCTTTGATTTGAATGAATTCTTTTGACAATAATATGTGCGATATAATTGAAGATATATAAGAACTGACAGGGCATTCCATTTCCATAAAATATACGTTTGCCTTATCTAATAATTGTTTATAATCTTTAGAGCCTTCAATGTTACCTTTAAAGTATCCATTTTTTGTCAAATTATTTAAAAACTTTTTATATTCCATAGAAGAAAATTTATCTTTCCCCGATTCATTCATAATCATTTCATAACCACAAGCCAATTTATATCCGATAAAGTTTTTCTTGTCAGAAGCGGAAATTTTTGTATTCCGAAAGCTAGTAATATGTTTCGAATGCAAAAGCACAGCATATTGAAACTTTGTAAACTGAACATTAACATTAACACAGTTATCAAATTTTACTTTACGAAAATTTTTCGCATCGATATAATCATGATGGCGATAGATATTAACGAGAGATGATATAAGTGTAGGTTTTATTATTAATAAAGCAGCTAAATCAATAGGAATATTAACTGTAGCTTTGTGTTTGAGTTCTTTTATTCTATTCGGATAAGCGCCAATCCTTTCCAGAATAGCTTGTTCTATTTGAAATTCAGCTTTTGTTTCTTCTGGGTGTTCTATGATCAATTTTAAAGCATCGTTTAACTTCAATGGCGTTTTTAGTTCAGCTACTGTTGGCGGAATTAAATGTATATGGCTGTTATAAATAAAAACCTGTAACAAAAATAAGTTTCAGACATGTTTGGCAAAAACATAGTTTATTTTATGTAAATATATTATTATTTTGAGCCGTGGCAGCTAAACGCTTACTGGAAATTTTACAGTACGCAAGCCATACATACATACGGTTCGTACCCCACCGACACAAAAGAAACTGTTAATTTCAATTTATGTTTTGTTATTTAATTTATGAAATACCTCTAGGAAACCTGCATGTCTAAAAAAAATTAGAGGTCTGTATCCAGAAGTGGAAATAAAGGCTCTAACTTTATTTTTATATTGTTATGTTAATGTAAAATTATTGTAAAAAAAATAAAAGGAAATATGAACAAATGAAGGTAGAACGGTAATCTCCCATCTGTTCTAGCATTATAAAGTAGGGATGTTACGGAAGTGGTTATATCGGAACCGAATTCAGAAGCGGAGTTTTTAAATTTTGTTTGTCGGAACCGGAACCGGAATCGGAGGTGGAGGCAGAAGAGATGTATTAAAGGCAGGTGTATTGCACTGTATTTATCTTTTCAGTTTCAATTTTTTTTAATTCTTCTAATTCAGTTGCATGCACAGACTTTAAATGATTTTTTTAAGTCTGTGTATGCCACTGAAGTAGTCGTACCTCCCTTTAGTGAATATATTTCCTAACATAGTTTACACTTTGCCGTATTCTCAGAAACTTCATTGAAATAATTCCAAATGGCACTTGATTATGGCTTCATTGTCTAATTCAAATAAATTTGTTACACGTCAAATAAAACACTACTAGAACGAATCAAAAACTCGGATAAGTATAAATGAAGCGCGTACCCACAACAAGCTAATTGCCAAATATGAAACAAAACATCAAGTTAAAGAGACGACAGGAGGCACGGGGGAGGGAGGTTCCCGGGGCGACAAGTATAAAATCGTTTGTACACGCTGATCGCGGCCGCCGCCACCACTGTGTAGCGACCTCCGATATATAACTTCCGATTAAAATTTAACGGAACCGAAATTGGAATCGAAAGTGCAAAATCAATCGGAAGTTCCGAACTTTCGGAATCGGAATCGAACCTCCGTAACATCTCTAGTATAAAGTATCGCGCAGGCGACTAAGAGAGATCAGTCGGTAATTCTACGAGTCCCATTGTCGTTACTATGCGTGTTGGGGTATTCAACTAAAGTAGGCAAGGAAGATCGTGTTGCTGAGAGGCTGTCCTGTGTTACATTAAGATGGGTAGTGTTGCTGGTGGTTTGCATATTTTGGTGTTATCATGTAATTGCGTCCTTCACATTACACCGGTGTGTGTTTGTAACGAGAACACGTTACGATTGGTCAAACTGTATTACTATTTACTGAATTTTTTTATATAGGAGAGGGGGCAAACGAGCATGCAGTTCACCTGATGGTAAGTGACTGCCGCCGCCCATAAACAACTGCAACACCAGGGGAATGGCAGATCCGATGCTGGCCTTTTAAAAACATAAGGAAGTTGTGCGAGGAAGAAAATTTCTAAATTGCACACTGGTTGACCGACAATCATCTAGATGATATGGATGGTATGGCGAATTTTGTCGCGATGTGCGATGATGAAATTGAGCGGCTGAAATAAGTCCGAATAATTCCTCAGAGCACTCCCCGTGGTAGATGCGATAAAATACGCAAAGAGATGCAATCTCTAAGCAGTGCAAGTGAGAGTCAAGCCGATCGGAAAGAACGCTGTCGTCGACGATTCGAACCGCTCTGCGCTGGTGGCGGTCAAGTGGAAAGAGCTGGCACCGGGGAGCCCCTTCCCAGAAATGGGAACAGTATTTCTTGTGGGGCCGAACCTGGGCCTTGTAAAGTTGCAAGCGGTGTGCCGGCATGAAATACTATCCCGCTCTGCTGAGCACGCCAAGCTTTTTAGAGGCGAATTTGGCCTTCTCTTCTAAGTGACCACGAAACTGCACATCACTCGATAGTCGACACCGAGGATTCCAATACTGGCTGAGGCAACAAGGGGAGTGCCTTGAAACTGATGGGATACGACAAAGGGGTTCTTTTTAGCGATAAACGCGCGAGTAGATTTAGTCGCCCCCAGACCGAGACTGTTCAATAAAGTCACGACTTCAGACACAAATATAATGAATGAAATACATGAAAATGAAGCAATGAATGTATTGTGCAGTGTGCTGTATTGTTGCTGATAATGATTGGTTTGCATAAGAAGAAGAGCAAGTTTAGCATAAACTCTCACCTTTGTTTTTTGACAATTTGCCTTTGCCTTAAATAGTAAACGAGGGTTTGTTACAGAGTCTGGTCTTACACCAGAAGTCGAATAATTTCTTACAGTACATAAAAATAACCTACTTTATGAATTTATATAGCATTTCGAACGTTTAACCATTCCATTACTAAAAAAATCACTTTAAAATATTTCCGACCTCGCAGTAGTAAAAATGTTATTTGTTAGCTCTACGCAGAAGTTTGAATTTGAATTATTTATAAATTGTCACTCCTGTCGACACTTCACCTCGCTCGTTCAAATTTCGGTAAAATTATGCTACTCAGATGTGATACTATTGACGTGTTGTTTTAGTAAAAGTTGTGATATAAAATAAACACTCATTTAAAATTAGAATTAGAGCAATAAAAATGTTTGATATGTTTATTGACCAAATTGATGATATATTCAGGATCCTGCTAAATGGGATTCCCTCTGGGTAACAGTTTATGAATAAATATTGTAATTTATACTACTGCAATAAATTTAACTTACCCTGTTTTGGGTTGTTTCTGGATTAGCCCAAGATGGTAGGTAATCAGCAGCTTCAATTAAAAGAAAATCTCCATCATTATCTTCAATCTTTACTATTAGATCATTGTATTCTTCAGTTAGTTTAAGTACTAAGTAAGCAATAAACCATTCATCTTCAATATTATCTTCAAAACATGTTGTGCTTGTGAGGTGTAATGGCAAGTCTGAGAGTAAGAAAAAGAAACAGTAAGGAAAAAACACAAAAATATTATACAGTTGTATAGCTTGCGATGTTATCACTTATCACAGTTTGTTGACAATCAACTAATATCTACACACTAAGTATCTAAGCTCAAATATCAAATAAATATGGTAAATAAAAAAACTTCCTTTTTGCAAGACTTATACCCTTAATTAATACCGAAAATATTTGTTAATGAAACACTGCCTGAAACTACTAACACAAAACTATTAATAAAAGGATCCTTTTCATGAGTAATTATAAACACTATAACTAAAATCAGAAGTAAAAATATAGAGATTACAGCACATATTGCTGTTTTCTATTATCCACTATCCCATATCGTACCATGGGTGTGGTAAAAGGCGACAGAGAAGCAAATCTGGGATGGGTGGAGAGCAGTCTTCCAAATTATAAATATATATTTTTTTTAATTTATCATTTCATGTGCAATACAAAAGCATAAGTAAAATAGCATCTATAAACCACAAAGGTTTGTAAATAATGCTTATGTAAATCTACATCATATTTCCACAAGTTTTGATAAAGAAAAACAGAATACAGTAATACTAGCTGGTACCCGGCATGTTGCTTCAACAGAAGAAATAATTGTGGAAATATCATTTTTTGGAAGTTATATTGTTTAATTAGGAATGATAATACATTCACTGAAGTTGAATGATATATAACTTTCAAATAAATTTGTCAGTTCAATTTGCACACCACCTACTGTAACTTAATTGTACTATGCCTATAACTTTTGGGCAAGGGCGAGCAATAAGTTGACAAAGTTTTACGGCAATCTGATGAATGGTATGGCAGTACAAAATTTACGAACAAAGATTCATTTTTACATATTAAATTAACTGTTACCTGGAATTTTGATACTACAGAAAAAATAATTGTCAAAATATCATTCATTGAAGTTGAGTGACGTCATAACTTTCAAATAAATTTGTTGGTATGATATGCACACTGCCTAAGTTAATTGTACTATGCCTATAACCTTTGCACAATTGCAAGCAATAAGTTGACAAAGTTTTAGCACAATCTGATCAATGGTATGACAGCACATAAAATATGAACAAACATAAAATTAATTTTTATATATTAGATTACATTGTGTTGCAAACAAAGAGATTTAAATATATATGTATACTATGGAGCGGACATTGGGAACATTTATATACAAAAACTTTGAGCTAGTGCGCGTGTGGCACCCTCTAGCCAAAAATAGCAAAGCAACGCTAAGCATTTACTAAGACAACATTTTAGCTATTCCCCAGTAGGTGACGCTAATAAATATATCCTTGATTTAGGAATGTTACATTTTCAATATCAAAGTATCGATAATGTTGTTCAAGATTACTAAGTTTGAAATGCTTTTCCATATAATAATAGGAAATATACATGATTGTTTTATTGTATAAATCTATTTATCATGACTTCCATCACACGAAAAAAATCATATTAACTTTTTACGCTCCTTTAGTGTCATGAAATAAAATATTTAATTTCCAATAACTAAGAATCAATTCAAACAGCAGTCACTTTGATTGCCACCTTGGTGGCATGACGTCACTCAGTCCATTAGCTGCATATGATGGATCAGTCGGCGTTAAAGACACACCTAGAAACGCCAAATCCGATAAAAGAGCGCCTCTATGATTTTAAATTCGTTTCTATTACAAAAATACACTTCAAATCTAAAATATTTTAGGAAAACACTGAACTTAAAAGCTGTGTCACAATTTTTCATGTTTCATCAACTGCAGTACTTAAAGACACTACCCACATCAATAAAAATTGTTATTTGAAGTTTTTACCTTATGTTCTAACTCAGGCTTAACCTACAACTTCTTGCATCTAATATCTTTAACATTACAAATTGTCTCTGTACTCTCCTATCACTGTAAGCGAGGATCTACAATGAAGCCAGGTGTAAAACCACCAGACAATGAAGCCTGGTATGTAAAAGAGAAGACATGCTGTATTGCTAAACATCAACACAGCAAGTATCCTCAGCATGCTTATAAGCAACACAGAAAATTTAATCAGCATACCAAAAAAAAATTTCCTACATTGGTATATGCTACCATTTTTGTTGGTATGGGTACAGTATCGTTGACTGTTATACCTCCTTAAATATTGTAAAGGATTAAATTGGCATGCTGTATATTTTTTTATCGATAATCCCAATCGATAAATGTCGTCAATCACTAACGTTAAAATTGGTAACCAAATAGTGACGTTTACTGGATAACATAGGGTGCTTATTACAATAAAAATAAATGTTTTAGAATAATCTACTAGAAATAATAAAATTTATAGATTATTCAGTAAATATATGTTATATTTACGATAATAAACCGAAATCACATTCATTTTTTGCTCCATATCTTGACTTACAATATCTTAATGCACCACCGGGTATATTTCCTTTAAAAATATTTTTTAAATATATGAAACGAATGCGTCTTGACTTTTTGACGATGTCACTAAGACTAGATGAAAAAAATCGTAGATATATCCTATAGGACATAAGTTACAGACGACAATTTTGCTACTGATGTCCGATCTATTACTACTACTACTTAAATATCTTTGGTTGCAAAGAAGTTTTAAAATCAGGCTAAATTTATAATTTAGATAACTTAAGTAATTAAATAACTAGAAATAGATGATAGGTAAGATAATTTCTAAGTGTTAAGTAGGAACTAAGGTTTTAATTTTGTTTAATATTTTCTCATCTAAAATTATTACGTAAATAAGGTAGGTGTGAGTTTCCGTAGAAATTATTAGCACGCGTAGTATAAAACTGATTTTGTGCGACTGCTCGCGTATATATGTAATAATATAACGTAATGTTTTTTTTTCTGAAAGTTTGTAAATAAAAACTAGTTGCCAACCATGTCAACTGTGACAAACATCCTCCTATGAGGCAATCTCCAAAAACTGTTACCTTCCCCATGAAAGGCGTATGTCCAGCAGTAATTTTTTGATAGGCTGTTAAAAAAATGTAGAAATTTCATACCGGAGTCGTCTTTTAACAACGGTTGACAAATTTTAAATTCATCTCTATGCCAAATGTAGTCCTTAGATAATGCAGCAACTTTTTCATTGATCACAACGCACAACTGTTCCCAATTAACATTTTCATGTGATGAAAAGAAAAAGCACTGGACCGTATCTTCGTATTTAAGATTATTTAACTCCGACATTTACGATACAGAAATACAGTTACAACAGTTCGAAAATTATTGATTTTCGCTCGTATAACTTTTTAATCTTCCTAAATAATAAGCAATTATTTTTCTTTTCTAGCAGGTTTTTTTATACTCCACAGTTCATCACACAGAACACCACAGAGTACATTGTATATAGGGAACAGAACACTAATACCCTTGGTTCATCAGTCATCACACGCCCGTATGCTTTTGACGGCTGACAGCCAGCCAGTGTTGCCAAGTCTAGACCGTTCCGAGTCGCCAAAAATTAAAATAAAAGTAGCCTAAATTCGCCTAATTTTTTTTCTGTAATGTAGCCAAAGATCGTCTCCTGAATTGTCAGTTAGCTATAAAGGGTTTTTTAAACGTAGATCCCTTATTTATAATTTTAAGTACTTTATCGTAAACTTGAAAGAAAAGATCAACATATATTATCTGTTTCTCCTTATTAATATTTCAGTAATTGAAACGAAATAAATATTTTATTAACAATTAAAGAGATTAACTATATATATATATATATATATATATATATATATATATATATATATATACATATTTTCTTATGCTTTGGACACATCTTATTTTTTATTTCAAGAATTTTGATGACATAAAATTCAAAAAAGGATTTATGGCTAATTTATCGAATTCGACAGGAGATGGAATGTAAATTTTTTTTCATTGTAAGTATAGATTTTCATTAAACTATCTCAGTGAAATGCGTGGGATATAATCTATATATAAGACAGACCACTTTTTCTTAGGTCATTGATACCTTCAAATCTAGTCTACATTGATAATTCTCTGTGTCAAAAACATATGTTTCATTACACGCATTTTTATTATATATCCTAAGAAGCTTACTTAATAAGGGAAAAATTATATAGCCGAAAAGCACCCTTGTTTATTTCCGAAGTAGCCTAAATGGCGACCAGTCGCCATTCGCAATTTTTGATCGCCCCGCCACCCGTCGAGATAGCCTAAAAGGCGAAAAATCTCTTAACTTGGCAACACTGCAGCCAGCTGACAGCTGTTATCAGAGCTGGCTGTGACATTTATTGGACTAAGCATTGCAACTGTAAAATCGGTACCTACAATAGTCGATTCTTTCGAGATATCAATATCGATTCTTTAAAATTGGTAATTATTTTAACAGTTTATCTAGACCAGAATAAATTAGAAATGGCCAACTAAAAACACAAAATTTCAGGTAATAAATAAATAATTTATTAATTTTTTATTTTCCATTAATATTTATTCTATCATCATATATTTCATAAAAAAATTATAAAAATAAATGAAATAATATAATACTGTTGAACAAGAGCCGCTCACATAGACTGCCTCTGGAATTTTGCTATAATTGCCACGATTGGCATAGGGGTTGGCAACTGTAGTTTTTATTTTATTTTGAGTTACTATCAGGAAGATGCTGCTGCCCATCATCTGTTTCAGTTTCCCTCTGTCGCCTCTTACGACATCTACGGAACGATGTAGGGTAGTCGATATTCTTACACCGCTGCTACACGCTGGATTCTTATTTATTGCTGTCTAAAATTATATAAATTATAGACTGTACTAGATTAAAAACAAATGTTTAATCACTTTCACGACAACCTGTTGAGCTGTCATCGTCATCATCGTTGTTTACATGAATTATTATTTGATTTTCTATATAATACTTTCAGAATGAATGTCTCTTTCATAGTCGTCCAAAACAATTTTTTTTGTTTTCTCCATCACTTTGACCCAGTGATCGCTTGTGTAATAGTTGTATTTTCTATAAATCCTCCTTCGGCGAATCCCACATGGCAAATTATGAGGCGCCGACCTTTTGTTGAACGTTGTCCTAATTGGTTATATTTTTCATTTCCCGTTAAAATCTTATACTCTGCATTCTTGTGTCTAAATAATTATTTTGCGTTTGTCAATTTTTCTAAACTCACCTGCAGTTTTGCCACAGTGGAATTGACAGAAATTGTAAAAAATTAGACTTGTTTAATTCATAATGTTACTTACAATATTAAAAAATTATAAAAAAAAAAACTAAAACAAATAACTTATTTATTATACAGTTCTACTCCTCGTGGTAACGTGCCAAGAAAGATAGCTGCGTTTCCTCGATGAATGGCTTTACTTAGCATTTGAGCGAGAAAAGAACCAGCCCTCTTATCACCAACAGCAACGACCAGTCGCGAATAGAGTTCCTTTAGTTTCTTCCTATATAGTTTTATAGTTTCTTAATATCAAGAGAGGGCTGTCGAAACTTCTTGTCGCATTTTTTTTGATAAAATATCCCAAGATTTTTACAGTAACGAGATTTATAAAATTGAAGAAAAATCTCTTTGGTTGTATTGTTTTTATCTGGGACGTTTTAATATCAATACATGTGGGACATTAAGGAAAAGAAAAATTAAAATTAAAAAACACTCGAATTTTCCAATTGTTTTCCTGTCCGCCAAAATGAGAATCTAATGAAGCAATTAGATTATATTCTGAAATGTTATTACAAAAAAGGAAAAATGCGACTCAAGCCGCGTTAAAGCTTTGTGACGTTTATTGACCTGATGCAGTTAAGTAAGAGTAGCATAAAGTTGGTTCAAGCGTTTTCAATCCCAGAATTTTGATATCAGAGATACAACTCGCTCCGGTCGCCCTCATACGGATAAAGTCAATGTCATTTTTGAAAAAGTGGAGCTAGATCAACATATTAGTACTTACGACATAGCCGAGGAATTAAGGATTGACCGCAAAATAGTTTAGACACATTAGAAAAAGTCTGGCAATACAAAAAAGATTGATATTTAGTCACGAGCTCACTGAAACCTAATGAATCGTGTACTCATTTGAGATTCTTTATTGAAACATAATGAAAACGAACAATTTTTGAAAAAATTGATCACTGGTGATGAAAAATGGATCACCTACGACAAGAACGTGCGAAAAAAGGTCATAGTCAAAGGAAAGTCAAGCTTCACAGACTGTACCGAAACCCGGATTAACACGCAATAAAACCTATATGGTGTATGGTATATGGTGGGATTGGAAGGGCATTGTTTATTATGAACTTTTACCGCCTCGTAAAACAATCGATTCGAATCTCTACTGCCAACAACTAATGAGACTCAAGTAATAAATTGAGAAAAAACGGCTGGAATTGATTAACAGAAAAGGAGTGGTCTTTCATCAAGATAACGCCAGACCTCACAAATCTTTGTCCACTCGGGATTATGTCACTACTTACAAGATGGCAACAAGTTATCGAACAAAATGGCACATATATTTATATTTATTTATTAGTTAGTTAAATGTAATTAACACTTTGGAATATAAATGTCTTGAATTTGTATATAAAATACCAAGAAACTATTTTCCCCGACCTATTGAGTGTCAGTATCTATAGAACAAATGCCGCTGCTTGTCATAATGGGCAATGAGCGGTACGCGCGATCTTGCTAATAGGCTGCTAGCGCATGTGCCGAGACAAATTATATTAGTAAACATAATAGGTAGAATTGGTATAAAAATGGTTACATAGATACCAAAAATATAATTGTATGGTTTGCGTGTAAAAAAGATTGTCTACACGCAAACCAAAAATATAGCGGTTAGTAGCTGTCTATAAATAGATCTAATAGATCGCTGTCTATTTTTCTTTTGGTTTCAAGAGAATTTATTTTCACCGTTCCATTCCTGTTAATTTGCTGTTGGGTTGGACGGTGGCTTGTCGATACTAGGCAAGAACTTCTCTATACCAGTACCACGAGAATTCAACTGAGCGGTTGATATCTCTCATACGCATCGAAGTATTTTCGTTTTAAATTAGTTTTTAAATTAGCTGTCGAGGCTTTATAGCTATAAATTTCCGCGCAAGTATGGCACTTAGTTTTTTTGTCTGTATCATCAATTTTATAAAAAAAAAACTCCCACAAAACACTTGAATTAACCCGCGACATTGTTAATATTAGTACCTTTATACAGTTTTACACAGTCACAAAATATGTAAGTACCTAAGCATTATTGTCCAACATATCACATAATTTTATGATCCATATAATCCACAAAAATAAACCTAATCTACATTATTTATATTTATTTACACTACTTGTATGTTTATTTATGTCCACTAAGTCTCTATTTACACCATAAAGGTTTATTCACAAAGAAAACTATACATGTAATAATATTTAAGAAACCCAAAAAGTTTTTAAGAACAGTTCACAAACAATAACATTCGTCAATCATCCCTTGCTCTTGTTAACTGCCTAAAATTCTAATAGAAATACGGTCATCTAGTCAACGTCGCAATTTGTTAAAAAAAAACATTATCGTAAAGAACTTTGAATTCTTTCAAATTGCATATAAACTCGCATGGGCATTTGCATTTTAAAAATATGCACCGATTACTATAATGCCGTCTCTTTTTATCTTGGGTGTAAGCCATACCTATCCCGAAGGGACTCTTTACTTCTCGTCTGCGAGTCGTATATCGTTTTACGTGCCTGTAATGGATCTGGCCACCCAATTTTGTTAAGGGTATCAAAAAATTTTATAAAAAAATACGAATTCAACGGTGTTCTTATTTTTTTTCTACCTTTAAGAATGACTGAAATATTGATGAGTAAAATGTTGTTTTACGGTAAGGGCGACCGCTTTGCTCTGCATTGCGATGTGACGTCACAAAACGACACGTCGATGCCACCAGTAGTCTTTATTGTTATATTTTTCTTATTCTCTCCATATTTATTACTCCATATTTTTCTTGTCGTGTTATTTATTTATCAGTAACCTTTATTATCTGTTTTTTTTTTATTTCTGTTATATCACGCTCCTTGGGAATAAAATGGTGACCTAAGATACAGGTTTTACCTAGTTTAGGCACCAGTTTTTCACCTAACAATAGTATTGTATGAGATGTAAGCACATATTTTTTGTTTTCTGAATGTATATTGATGGTGAAAAAAAATAAAAATAAATTTAATTTTACTGGAAAA